AACAAGTAGGAGTTTGAGTTCTTGTCAGCAGAGTAAGGCATCAAAGCTATGTCTCCTTTAATCACTATCATATTGGCAGCAAAATGGCCCAGTATAATGCATTAAGTCAGTTGAAGGTAGGACCTAGAAGAGGCCCAATCTACAGGTTGTTAAGCAACTTGTTTGACCTTAAGGGGGAACCAAAGGCATCGTGAGAAAAGATTGTGTTTGGGATGTATGTGTTAGGAGGTCGAATGGGGAATGTGGAGTTAAGGAAGTGGGCCGTTCATTGAGATTGCAGATTTAAGGATACAGAGTTATCAGAAATGGTCACAGACAGAACCCATCAGTTCTGGTGGTGAGTGTAGCAACCATAGCACCACTGTTTCCAGGACCACTACATCCAATACTTTGAGCCAAAACCCATCAACAGACATAAGACAGTTCTGAGCAGCATCATTCAAGTGCAGGTGTAGTGTGTTATCCATGGTGCAGGTGTAAAGCCAAGAATCAGAGTATTTCTGTTTGTGCCTGTTAGGCAATGCTATTATGTATAAATTCATGTTATCTATATTGGGCTTTTTGCAGCTCTGATTGAAATTACCCGTGAATGATATTAAAACTGAGTGTTGTATAAAAGCCCAGGGGAGCAATGCATGTGACGTAGGAAGTGAATGAGGACGAGGTAAAGCAAGACCATCCTTGTAATGTGAATGGTTCACATGTTGTGATTTTTCTGGTTGTTATGGTTCTCTTTCACTTCCCAAATTTGTCACTGTGGATATGCAAGTGGACACAAAAACACGAAAATGATCAGGAATGTTGTTGCATCACTTCAGAACACAAGACTTGATGAGCCATTATGCTGTACTGTTGCTGAAACTGTCATGTCCCTAGATTTAGAAGCAGCTTGTTTTTCAAGCTGTGGTTACAGTGATCCATTTTCAATTGGGCATGAAACACTGATGAGACATACAGTGATGAGTTTCTACATACTGTCCTGAAGCTTCATGTTAATTTGTTTCACAGGGAGATTTTTTTTTTTTTTTTTTCTGTTTTATGGGATGTCTCAGAAAAGCTTTCTGTCAACTAAAATTAAATTGAAAACTTTTCTTTGGTCACTTATTGCATACCAGCTGCAGTTTCTTAGAACTCTTTTAAGAATCCTTTTAATCTAATCTGTCATAAACCTGAGAAATACACTTTATTTTTAGTTCTGAAAAACAATTTTCTTTTTGTTTCTTGTGGAGTATCCTAAAGGGGTATCTGTCTACAGTACCTTATTGCAGGAGCCTTAAGATAGCACATCACTGGTCACATATTCCAATGATGAGTGTGGTCCCTCAGGGGTCCATATTGGGACCAGTATTATTTAACATCTTTGTCAGGGACATGGACAGTGGGATTGAGGGCTCCCTCAGCAAGTTTGTGGATGACACCACACTGAGTGGTGTGGTTGATACCCTAGAGGGAAGGGATGCCAATTCAGAGGGACCTTGACAGGCTGGAAAGGTGGGCCCATGCAAACTTCCTGAAGTTCAACAAGGCCAAGTGTAAGATCCTGCACTGGGGTCAGGGCAATCCCAAACATGGATACAGGCTGAGCAATGAGTGGTTTGAGAGCAGCCCTGAGGAGAAGGACTTGGAGGTACTGGTGGATGAAAAACTGAATATGAGTCAGCAGTGTGTGCTAGCAGCCCAGAAAGCCAGTTGCATCCTGGGCTGCATCAAAAGCAGCATGGCCAGCAGGTCGAGGGAGGTGATTCTGCCCCTCTACTCTGCTCTTTTGAAGACCCCATCTGGAGTACTGCATTCAGCCCTGGGGCCTCCAGCATAAGACATGGACCTGCTCAAGCAGGTCCAAAGGAGGGCCATGGGGATGATCAGGGGGCTGGAGCGCATCTCCTATGAAGACAGGCTGAGACAATTGGGGTTGTTTAGCTTAGAGAAGAGAAGGCTCTGGGGAGACCTTCCAGTACTTAAAGGGGGCCTACAAGAAAGCTGGAGAGGTACATTTTACAAGGACATGTAGAGACAGGAGAAGGGGTAATGGCTTTAAACTGAAAGAGGGTAGATTTAGATTAGGTATAAGGAAGAAATCCTTTACTGTGAGGGTGGTGAGACACTGGAACAGGTTGCCCAGAGAAGTTGTGGATGCTCCATCCCTGGAAGTGTTCAAGGCCAGGTTGGATGGGGCTTTGAGCAACGTGGTCTAGTGGAAGGTGTCCCTACTCATGGCAGGGGGGTTGGGACCAGATGATCTTTAAGGTCCCTTCCAACTTAAACCATTCTATGATTTTATGATTCTCTTATGTGACATAATGGAGGAAAAGAAACTCTTAGTTGCTGTTGTCTTTTAATATAGTGTTTAGGGGCTTTTAGCCTACACATGGTAGTTAATAATAGTGGTTGTAACAAAGAAATGAAAGGCACTCCTGCCCTCCTAGAAACCAAACCAAACTCCTCTAATTTGATTAAATTAACTTCATACTGAAGACTTGAATAAAAAAATAAATACTCTAAAGAAAATACTGTTATCTAGAAGAGGAGAATGCCGTAATAAATGTAGTCCTGCATGAGTAAGACTATTTTTTATTTCTGGTTTGCTTTCCCAAATTTCTTCCAGATTTGTACCTGTAATTTTGGTGGTGTAACTCAGAGCAGGCCACTCTGCTGCTTCCTCTGGTGAGGACATACGCTTCTGCCTCCTGCCAGTGCCACTCAGCATTGCATTTTTTTCCCCCTGCCAGTCATAGGCAGGTCCCACAGCTGCAACTGTCTTCTTGTTTACTGAGGTCTTTTAAAGTCTCGATCCTGAAGAGTATGGTGGCTGCCTGCATCCAGGCTTCCAAGTTTCCTGTATTAGTAAACGGCTTGACTTTTTGTGGACAAATTAAATGGCCCAATTATTTTTTTAAGTAGAGGCACGAACTTCAGCCATCTTTTCAGGGTTGTGGGCTGCCCTCACATTTTAGAGACCTGTTTGGCCACAGAAATGCAGTGTGGCCAAAGCAACACAGAAATATAACAGACTGATGATTGGCCACATTGTCCACTAGAGTTGACAGTAAATCCCTTCTCCGACCTAAATGTGACAGCAGTTCACTGGGATAAGTGCACTTGTCTTGCAGGCACATTTTGAGAGTCATGAGACCTCACATGCAGTTAATAACATCTGTTGCTCCTGCTTCTCAGCCCAGTTTAGGGCCACAGTGAAAAAGACAGTTGTTGACCCCATGCAGCCTAGTGTGTTATGCCTAGGCCTAGCACGTTTTCCTATTTCTGCTTGGAAGAAAATTAATACCAACTTAAATAGGCTTGAAACACAGGTTATGAAGAAAAAGGTAGTGGCTCAAAAATATTGAAAAAACGGTTTCAGTCAAAATCAAAAGGTTTAAACTATGATGATTGTAATGGAAGGTCTCAGACAAATGAGTAAGAGTTCAATTCAGCTTTGGATGAGGTGTTTGGAGACATGTTTGGAAATCACTGGAAATTCTGACTTTTTAAAACAAGTTTGTGTTTAATACCAGATGAAATACCACAGTAAGGTTTTAATTCCTCAGTTAGAGATTTTTGATGCATCATATTGTCCAAATGAACTTTGGAAAAATGAGGAGAATATTTTCTACCACAAATTCTCATTTGTTAATATCACTATACAAGTTATAGAAGTACAATTACAGGCACATGTTAAAATGGCACAAAAGCAGAGGAGTCCTAAAAAGGAAGAAGAGGTTGCCTACGTATCTCAAAGGAGACAGAGAAAAATAATGAAAATAAAATTTTCTTCTTTGTCATAAGGATTATGGTAAAAAGCAAAAAGGAATAATATGAATTTAATTATTATCATTAACAAAGGGATGTTTGAGTGAAAAAATTACCCTACTATAGGGTATGTATCTCCGTTTTTGGAAGGTTTTTAAGGATTAGCCAGATATTAGTATTTGTATAGTAAAAGTGCACGTTATGTATTTCCAATTTATTTTAGGGAACACTTCAAAATGTTTCTATCAATATCTCCCCACTCTAAATGGAAATTATTAGAGAACCTTTCCCTCCCTTAGGGCACCACGGCAGCTGTGATAAAACTCAGTGTTGAAAAACACCCTTCTTTAATTTTGATTGCAACAGGAATTCATTCATAAGGAATGCCACCTATTGAATTTTCTCCCCCCTACCATTTCAGCACAATCCAAATAAATAATTCTAAACTTAAATTTCAAATATGTTTAATCTAGAATCATATTGGAGAGCAGAAATTAAGAGATATGGATTAGAATGGAAGGGTTCTAGCTTTTTTTTCCCTTGAGAAGATGGAAGCTATGAATTCTTAGCCTTTGCTACATGTTTTTTGAGGATTATTGTGACTGAGATTGTCCAGTTATTGAGATAAGTTTTTACAATTAAAAATAAAATAACTATATTATTAATGTCACACACCACCCCTACCCCCACCCCCCTTTTCAAATAATCCCAGAGATGATGAGCTAAACATCACATTTCTACAAAGGCTTCAACTCAGAAAGGCCATGTCTAGTTTGGACACCTGGCCATTGCATGCTAAGGATGCTTTCAACTTGTTTGCATTGCCCCCTTGCTGTATGAACTAGGGCAGGGATAGCTGGCTTGGCAACCCTGCGTCCCTTTTTCCTGACTCAGCCGGGCCATGCTCAGTGCACAGCATAGGGACCTCTGGATTTCAGCAGTGCTTCATATCCAACAGTGTAGATGTGGTCATGGCACCCGCTGTAAAAATGAAACTCCTGACTGAATTGCTTCTGAATTATTTCAATTATGTATTTTTTTTAAGCTTACTGAAATAGAATTTTGATCAGCCTTCATGTAGTTTTGTTTCATTGTGTCAGTTATTTAAGGCTGCATTATCCTGCACAATGCATCTGTACGTTTTAATCTTCTTGTGAGTTCAGTAACATATTAAAGAAAAAACCCCAAACTGTCCAAAATAACAATAAATATTAAATGTCTTTCCAGTTTTAATTACTAATATGCCTTCCTACCTGTGTTGTAATGCTTGGTGCAGTAACATAAATCCTTTTCTTCTTTCAACAGAAACTGTGGCAGAGTGAGACCTTCTGCTACTTGAACTGCTCCCTTTTCTTGCCATTCAAAAATGAGATCATTCATTGTGTATCCAACTAAAAAAAAAAAAAGGCACAAATAAACTCTAAGTCAGCTGCAAAATTTGAAAAACAAGGACAAACCAAATAGTAATGACTTAAGTAAATGTCATAAAAAGGAGAAAATAGAAGGGGTTGTCTTGTACCTGTTAACCAAAAAGCATTATCTGCCATTCTAAACCATACTGAACTAAAAAAAAAAAAAAAGCCAGTCTTATGCATCCTTTGTGAAATCTTAATGTAGTCTATTAATGGAATTAACAAAAGCATCAAAATCAGCTAAACATCCAGGGTGCTTGGAAAAATCTTACCCTCCCCAGCTCATGCAGGATAAAATAGGCCCTTCACCCTCAGATCTTTCTCCTTTTACGTGAGGTAAAATGGTGGATTCTCAAAGCTATGTTTATGGATTTATGTCAATTTGAATTGTTAGGTACAAGTTCTTCAAAGAGAACAATGAATGAAAGTTTCTGCAGGAGTGAGGTATTAATTGAATTGAAAAAATACTTTTCTCTGAAACTGGTACAAAACAAGGGAAAGCAATCAACTGTAATCTCATATTAGCTGACTGTGACATATTATGATATTAAAAGGCATTCAGTTTTAATATTTACATTCCTGCACTTATCTGTACCTCATGCATGTATATATAAGATTAAATAAAGCAGCAAAAGTCATAGCAAAAGTACTAATCAAGTGCCAGACTTTGTAAAGCACAAGTATTTTTTCCTTCTATTTCCCTCTCTCAGCTGAATATTTGCATGGGATACTGTTGGGGAAAATAGCTCTACTTCCTCTGAATATGCTATATATTAACTTTCCAGTATATTTCTGGATATATATTCCAAGTTTTTTTCTGAATAAATTTTACCTGGTTAGGATAACTAAAAAAAAAAAAAAAAAAAAAAAAAAAAAAAAAAAAAAAAAAAAAAAAAAAAAAAAAAAAAAGGCTTCCTATTCTCATTCAGGTTTCATTAAGACTTTCTCAGAATCTAATGGATTTCGACTAAGTGAAGATTGAAATCTAAAATTAGATATCTTCTATTGTTGTAATAGCTTGAATGACAAGGGTTCCCTTGAGCCACATATAGCATCTTGAACCAGAAGGAAAAGGGAGTAATTTTTACATCTAAATGATATAGTTTTCATTCATCTATTTTGCTTCTTTGCAGTATTTCCTTTCTGCTTTAGTCCAATGCTAATGACCTGTTAAGAATAACCTACTGATAACTGGAAATATCTTTTAACCTTTCAGTAACAAATTATTGTTCAAAGTATATTGTTCAGAACTTTCTAAGATTAACTACCTGCCCACAAATACTGAAATTTTGAGTTCCAGTGAAGGAAATAACCGCTTTGGCGTGTGGGCATAAATCTTTCTACTGTTATATTCAGTGACTTCATTACTCTTTGAACACACCTATAAATGCTATTCAGTCATAATGCCCTGATATGTTCACCTCAAATATGAGACACAAGTCATTCTTTCTGATCTGTCTATGTTGACTGCACCTATAAGCTAACAATGGGTGTTTATAAATTTAAAACTGTTTTCAATACCTCTCCTTGCTTCTAGATTCTTTATGTTTCTTTTTGGGGAGTACCTTTATACAAGGTATTCACAGGCACTCAGGCTGACTGTTGGTTTACTTTGACATTTTGTTGGAGCTGGATAAATGTGCTAAAATGGGACCATATCCTTCTAAATAAGTATTTAATTAAGATCAGGAATTACTCAAGTCATTACAAGCATATATTAACTGTGCAAAGAAACAACTATTTTACTGTCTTCTTGAATGCACGACTTTCTATAAACACAGTCTTTAAATTCACTATTATGTGCCATAAACTATGGAAAATCAGAAGTACAGCTCTTATCAAACTTTGTATGAATTCAGACAACAAGCAGTTGTGTGTAAAGCAGGTTATAATTTGAAGCATGTAGATTATGGCCAGAAGTCATATCCCCTGAGTAAAACTCATTGAACTGACAAGAAACAACTGCTGTGTCAAAATGTGTTTGACAATCAGATTAATTCATCTCTAATGTGTGCTTTTGATTTTGATTATCTATCCTGCCCACTAATTCTTCTACAGTGCAATCTATTAAAAATAATACCAGTGTATGCAAAATGCTGATGAAATAATTAATCATGTTTGCATTTTAAATACCCAAATATAGCTTTAGCATTCAATACTGTGACTTCAGTTTTGTAAGTCAAGAGCATATTTATGAAGTAAATCTGTCTTAAAATATAGAGGAGCTTAATGGATATGTGAATTTGTTATAGTGAAGAAATTTAAAATATTATAATATATATCATATTTCCACTAGGAATGTTAAATTAAATCAACTTAGTTTCTATTAAATTTATGGCCCTTTATTAAATGTGAAATACATGGCCCAATCAAATGTGCCCATTGAATTAGGGAAATCTAAAATCTTGTAATAGTCCTATAACTGGGGAACCAAGAAAACATAAATTATTTAAGCATATTGAACTATTTGATAACACAAACTTGTCTCTAAATTTTCTTTAGTGTTAACAAGGACAGGTATTCTTGATTTTCTAACTGAAAATATTTTGTTAGTTCGTACAGTTCCAAATAAACTGAGAATCTCTTCTTTTTTCCAACTATTGCATCATTCTTTCTTCTTGGCCAGGAGAAAAGGAAGAAAGACTACAGTGGAAAGTATCTAGTCACTTACAGAAATAAAGCAGAATCAGAGAATATGCAAGAACAATCTGCAGCTCATGTCCTAGGCCCATCCCAGGATACTCTTTGAACAAAAGGGCTAAAACCCACATTGTTCTGTATTAGAAATTTGTCAGGAAGAACAGCAATACTAAGACAGCTAACTGAGCTTTCTTAATATCTCAAAAAAAGGAAAATATTTTTGGTTTTTAATTAATTTTATGAAGACCTGCTGAATAGCACCATGCTTAACACTCAGAATGCTCGTGGTATTGTGTGCATTGTGCATAAGGGGGAAAAGGCATTTCTATAGAAATGGCCCTTTAAAACAGTCTGTCATTACCATACTGTAGTATATATGCTATTGGAATTTAGGTCTATGGTATCATATATGCAATGAGCCTAAAAATTTGTCCTCCAGCACCCTCATTTTAGGACCTCCGCTGATTAATGTAATTAGCATCCCTTATTGAAGTGGCTGGGCTCCCAGCAGCATGAGGAGGCATCATGGCAGATTTTGAAATTACCTTAATGTTCAGTCTCAGCAACAAAGTAGAGACTTTTGATCCTGATATGGATAAGGCACCAAATTGCTTAGTGCCATCAGCGGGGGTAGGGGGGTTAGGTGCACAGCAAGTAGCAGAAGTGTAGGGAGGTTTGGTAATGAAAATCTTGATGCCTCAAGGGCAGAGTGTTATTTTTTAGATTTAGGATCCTAGAATTGCCAATCATAAAAGTTTACAGTATTAGAATTATGTGGATAACTTTAAAATCCTGATGGCACTGCCCGAGGTCAGTGGGACTGTATATATCATTCATGCATATGTATTTGCAGTACTGAGGCCTACATTCGCAAAATGGAAATCTGATTAGATGCTGCAACAAAGCAGGTCTCTACTAAAACGCATTTACCTTACTCACTTAGATGAAAAAAGTACACTTGGCCATCCACTGCTGAAAGGAGTTTTACAGGAATAAAAATGAAAACAAGTAAATTATTTCATTATCTGTATAAGATTAGCAACTGATTAGCTGAGAAAAAGCAGATGAGAGAAGTGAGTAATGGCGCTCTTTTTGTTCTAGGTTTATACAGCACCAGTCAGTCTAACTGATCAAGCTCATAATTAAAGCTGAGTGTTCTTGAGACACAACTGCAATTAAAAATAATTGATCTGAATGCAGTAGTACTCAGATAGTAAAATTCAATAAGACAGATATCTTTGTGTGGTCTCTCAAATTTTGCTTTGATATTCTTGATTAATGACACCAGTAGCAGACAGGGCTAATTTGTTGGGGAAATATATGCAGAAACGGTTCAAACAGAATATTTTAGGAATGGATTATTCTTCCAATGACCGATAAATATATTACAGGTTCAATCCAGTGCATTAATTTTTCATGAAATAATCAGAAGGCATGATAATTAAAATAAGGCAAAACATCTTTAAATTCAAGAAATACTAAACCTGAAGTCCACCTTAGCTTCTGGTTCCTACTTGTCTGCTTGCGTTACTTGATTAATAAATGTGCATTATCTTCGAAGCAATTTAAAGAAAATCATTCAGTAACGTAACTTTGAGTGAAAGTCTAAATGCTTGTTGCTGATATTGGTCAGCCATCAAAGATTAGAGATACACTGTGTATATTTTCCAAATGGCCTGTGTGATAAAATATCTGAGAAGCTGTATTCCATTACATGGTTATCACTGTGCAAATGGAGCAGTAAAGAACGGTTATACAGTCAGATCACCTTATTAGCAAACTGTGAGCCTGAAATGTGAAGATTTTATTCTGAACAGATGTGCGGTTACCAGTGCAAACTTGCACTATATGCATTATATTGTTAAATATGTTCTGCATCTTGTAAGAACTGCACTGAAATATGTAGTAGTTATAAAGAACAAGACGTTTCCCTTTATGGATTCTAAGGGATAAGGAAGATAATGGTGTCTTTATTGTGCTGTTCTGTCCATAAATACTGAATCCACAGAAACTAGCTGGCAAGCGAGTTGGCACAATCTAGGAACCTGAATTTGAGGAAATAGAGGAACCAACTCACAGCAATGTCACAGGATGAGGAATCGTGTCCCTTGCAGTTTTTCAAGTTCAGAGTCACAACTACAGAAGCCCTATCTCCCCAATGATACCTGTTTCTAGATTCTCCTCCTTACGTTTGCTATGCCACAGAAGGCTGTGCCAAATGTTAATGCGGTGATGAGTTTTGCAGTTTATTTATATTTTTTTTGTCTGCAAAAATAGCAAAGACAATACTTAATCACATTTCCTATGCCTCTAACGTGTCTGTCAGGAGGGCACTGTAT